AATCCTTCTAGGTCTCTGATCTATAAAGATGACTGAATCCTTTATTATTTAGCAGTGGTCTCATGACTTAAGAGCATTTTTAGTTTGGTGGCCTTAGAAAACCAATGAGGAATACTTTTGTACTTGAGTTCAAGTCCTGTTAAAATAGTTTTTAATATCCTTTCTGGATTAACCACTGTAGCCTGAGGATCTTAAGGAACACACCTCAAGCTAACTGGATTGATTTGCTTAGTTCAGGTAATATCAACTGTATAGAAACTGGGAAGATAACATTCAAACATGGAATTATTAATGTAGACAGGTGATGGGTTCAGATGTCACAATTTTAAAATACAGATATGTTCACTAGCATTGTGAAATTGATACTACTTCTTACCAGGGAACCTCAGTCCTGTAAAAGTCTTTTGCTTCTATTTTAAGAACCTTGTAACTATAAAAGATTTTAACGGTTCAGATGCGTGGGGGAAATTGCAGTAATTTGCTTGCAGATACATTAAGAAAATATTCCTTAAATAATTTTCTGCTTTAGTTTGTGATATCAAAAGTATTTTTCATTTCCTCTCTCCGAAAGACATCCTCAGTTTTCCAACAATTTCCTGCCGGTAATAATTGTGGTAGGCAGGTTGTTCTGGAGATTCTTGGTTGGGTGATCAGAAGGGAGTCCCCTGGGAGCAGACTGGAAGGTTTCGTGCAGAATTAATCCTGTTTAGTTCTCCAGGTCTCATATGGAGTAAGTGGTAAGGATATGTGTGCAAATATTTGTAAAAGAGGGTTCTTGGAGATAAAGCAAGCCAAGAAACATTATTCAATAGGGGGAGATTTTTTTGTCGTGCTCCAGAAATGACGTGATGACTCCTAGCTCTGTGGTGTAGAGAGGTAAACTGCAGCATCTTTAAGCTTCTTGAGGAGCACATAAGCAGCTTGACACCATCATCCCATTTTCTTCTCTTGCTGTTATAGTGCAACTGCCAGAGTTGGTGGGAGATACTGAAGCTACACAGTCCATTTCTCATGCTTTCCAGTGTGACTGATGGAGGAGCGCAGGCGAGAAAATTCCTTGGTGCTGTGGCTAGCAGAATTGTGTGGGCCTGCTGCCTTAGTGACAGCCATCTCTGATCCTGTCTCCTTGGATATCAGAACAGATTTATAGGCAGACCCAGGTGTAAACATTTTAGCTTGTATTTGTTGATATATCTTCTAATGAAACCCATTTTCTTGTTTGGTGATCATGCCACAAAGCAGAAGGATAACTGAGGACTTTAGTGGACTCTTATTGGAGGGAGCACCCTTTGAGACATACTCCAGACTTCATTTTGATTCACTAATAATTCAATATGGATGATGTTTAGGTGCACTTATTTTATACTGAAAATGTAGAGTCTAGTTCTTTATTTACTACCATGATTAGCTTGTACTGGCTTTGAGTTTGAGAAATATATTGGCAAAGCAAGAGCTGGTCTTTTGTTTGTTTGTTTTAAATATGGATTAAGTTTAGGCTTTACTGCTGTGGTGCTCAAAGATTGGTTGTTCATTTAGGAAACTCGCCTATCCGTGCAATCAGTGAGAAAAGGAGTGGGAAATGTCACCAGTCTAGTCCATGTTAAGTACAGTGTTTTGACTGTTTTTCTTGACTTTTCTTCCTCACATCTGTGTATTTGAGGCAACATTATTTCTTTATGGGGTGAAAAAAGCAATAGAAAATATGGCACATCTTTAAGGGATCTATTGTATTCTTTTATCAGTAGTTTCCTTATGTGCTAAGTCTTTGCTTTGTATTTGGTATCTCTATGAATTGGCAGAGTCTGAGAAAGCACAACTGAGATGATCATGTATCATTGAAGTGAATATAAATTATTCTTATATAATTTAAGCATCACGCAAATGAAGAAGAAGAATGGATGAAAAGGTAGATAGTATAACATATGATTTTTGTAATAGGATCTTGATTGCTTCTCTTTCAAACTCAAGTCA